GTATTCCGCACCCAAATGGTGCTCTGCTGGTTTCATGTGCGTTGCACTGCCTGCACTGCCTGCCTTTGAAGCAAGGCTGCACCCACGAGGTTTCAGGTTCCTAAGCTTCATGCGCCAGTGACGAGTTGGTCATACACCAACTCTGCCATCGGCATAGCCACATGAGGCACTTTCATGAGGCCACTTGACAGGCACCTCTGAGAACCCCTTTGTGCTCGCATGCATTTGCACCATTGACGCATTTTTGCTCGCATGCATTTGCACCATTGACGCATTTTTGCCGCAGTTGTGGTTTTGTTTCACCCCTTTCCAACCTTCTCTCTCCCTTGCGAGATGGCTGGACACCAGCTCTATGACATGATGCATTCGCTCCTGCACAGCATTGCGACCGGCACCGCGTCCGGCTCACCAGGCAATTGTGGACCGAACTTGCAGCTGTCATCCCAGATGACGCAGCCCATGAACCTTGTACCGTCACCCAACTCGCAGACGGCATCCTTCACACCTTTCCCCATGATGCCCTACGGCGGCCTCTCGAACTTTGGCAACCCGATGGCCATGATGCCCTACGGTGGCCCTCCCAATTACGGCAACTTGGCACCTGGCACCATCATGCCTTTCATGACTCAGAGCAGCATGCCATCTTCACCGCCCGAGCCTCAGCCGGCGCGCGCGCCCGAAGCTGCCGCTGCGGCTCCTGCCGCTACCTCCTCAACCAACCACCCTCCCCCGGACACTCGGCACCATCCCCACTCTCGCAGATCCCGTTCCCGCCACAGACAGCACCGACACTCCCACTCCCACACCAGCCACCATCGCAGGCACAACAAGTCGCACCGACGACACGACACCCGACGATCCCGCAGCTACAGCAGGTCACGTTCCCTTTCCCGACACTTCCACCACTCCCGACGTGCACACCACTCCACTGTCTCCCTCCGCTCCCGCTCCCCCCGACACAGGTCCCACCATCGACACTCCCCTGCACCCAGAGCCACGACTTCGCACCGACCCACTCACACTACTCATGATTCCACCTCCTGGCGCACTTCCGGGAAGGATTCCAACAAGTCTCAATGGTCCTCCTCACACTGGCGGAACCAATCGTGGGGATACCCACCACAGAACAAAAACCGCTGGGACATGCACCACCATGGCGCCAGCCACACCGGCCACCGAAACAACCAGGGCAAACGACGTCCTGGTCACTGCAGCACCATGGGCAGCAACCCCACCCCACTTCCCGCACCGGCCACCACAACACTAGCTTGCCCCCTCACCCAGCACCTGCGGCGGCCTTCACTTCCACTCCCCCTCCCCCTCCCCGACCCACGCCGGCTACTCCTCACCCTCCCCAACCCCCCTTCGACAACACCGGTGATTTGGATCCCCCTCCATCGGAGGCGGACATCAATGCCACCACCACTTCCGACAACCGGTGGCTTGATCTATGGAGAAACGTCATGGACACGGCCAAGACTGACCCGCTGCGAGTTCCCACGCCTAGGGAGTTGGGGGAGCTGGACCCGCTTCCAGCCTTGGACATCTCCAGGGTGGAACAGACTAAGGCCATTTTGATGGACCTGGACCCTGCTTTGCCACCTTCACATGCCGATCTCCTCGCGGAATGCTGGGAACTGCGAACCATGGACACGGATGATCCCATACCGTTCGATCCCAGCTTCTACCACCTCTTGGGACGGGAATCACACGGCATGGTGTTCGCAACCACTTGGTTTCCCCGACCTCATCCTTGGCCAGTTGCTGGCGGAGACCCGGAAGCTGGATCCGGCACGGCCTCCCATCACGCTGTCATGTATGTG